AATAAGCAGATACATCAACTTACAAACTCACACAGATAGGTAAGTCATATGCCTAAGAAAATATTGAATTGGGTTACAAAAGCGGCATGATCAACGAATCAAGTGATGTCACCCAGCAGTGTGTTCCAGTGATGTATGGCTCGAAGTAATGGTGAGTGTTGATACATAATTGTGCGTGCCAAAAAAGGCTGTATTTTGAATTGGTGTTCAATATGTTTAGAAGTATTATGAGGTGTGTTTGTGCAAGCTTCACGAAGGCAGATTTACTATGATAAAATGTATAAAAATGCAACAACAGTGACCCAGTATGCGTTTTTCAAGAAGGGGTAATGAAAGTGAGTGTGTAATATCTGTAGTGCTGCAGTTACGAGAATACTACTTGCTCATAAATCCTGCTGCTTCATTTTGTATTCATTTTAGTTAATCAATTAGATATGATTGATATGGGTTCTAGATGATGGATGCATATTCTATCTTTGAACGGACAAGTGTAGTGTACGCTAGCATTTTAGTGGTATAGTTCACCAAGTAAAGGTTTCTTTTAATAAATCCAAGTGCTTTTGACACCTTACTAGTTACGATATCGATGCACTTATTCTAAGATGAATTCCAAGATATTTAAACAGGGATACTTTTTCAGTGGGGACAGCTTGAATTTCATATTGACTCATTTCTGTTTTATGTGCTCTTGTAAATGTCATGGCCTTTGTTTTGGAAGTGTTAATTTGCATTTGCCCCTGGTAACCCCAAAATGCGAGTTTATTAAGGTCCAACTATAATGTCTCGTTAGCTTGGGTGTGGTCAATTTTTCTATAAATGATGTACTTGTATGTAAATAATCTGAAACTGGTCCCAAGATTGATCCCTGGGGAACACCAGACTTTACATGTGAAAGTGAAGATGCGTGTCCATTCGCATAAATTGATTGGCTGCAGTTGCTCAGAAAATGATTTATTCAGCTTTTTTTCTAAACCAGCGGCTACATTATCATTATACATAGAGCCATCCAGAGCAAAAAAGAAGCCTTCCTTGTCAGCAACGAAAACATGCAACTTAGCTTACAGATGTGTCTCAGACAGCATGAACACCGTTATGAGGAGTGACCATGTACGTACAACAAAGGCAAGCTGAAAAAGCCAGCAGACTTTTTTTGTGAAGCTAAGTTGCGTGTTTTGGTTCCCTTCATGCTACCTTCGTTTACGTACTCTTCCATGAATATAATGCTAAAAATACTTATGGATTTTATAGCACCATCTCAAGAAAGTGAAATGAGAAGAGAGTGTGCTACTCTTGAAATATCTGCAATAAGTGCATAGCGGAGGACGTTTGCAGCTGCATCGCCAATAATCGCCAAGCTGCATCGCTAACACCTTCCCAAAGGGAACGCTGATGGGATATGAAGCAGCAGTGTTGCGCACAGATGCTATCGGCGTTTTTGACTCACACCTCGTGGGTGTTGCGGGCGCGACGTCGCCATTCGCAAACGCAATCGGCGCTGCTCGCCCTCGCAACGCCGGCGACAGCCAGGTTGGGCCAAATCGCTTCGGTGCATGTTTAGGCGGTCGAAGCAGCTTCGCTTTCTGGCGTCCTCTACATCGTAGATAAACGAGCCAAAAGAGTGTTCCCTCGATGTGGTCCGAACGTTGCGAGCGGTGGAGTGGGTGAAGCGAGAGAGGGGTGACACACGGCGAGCGCGTGGCAGGCGAGGGCGAGAGTGACATCACCACGCACTGCAAGAGAAGGCGGGACCTACTTGGCACCGTCCGAACACCTACGGTGGGGGAAGCGCGGTGCGGTTCCTTGGCACGGAGACACGGACGGACAGCGTTAGACTGGCTAGTCAAATAGCTGCTTCGCATCTAAAAAGCAACGTGCAACTTGACTCGTCAAGCAGAAGCACCTTGTCATCTTGCAAGAGTTTAGCCGATAGACTCTTGACCAATCAACTTGAACACTTTCATTTCACTGAGGGTCAAATAATTAGCGGAAGAAACTAGATAATTGGCGGTGCCTCCTCAACAAATGTTCGGAAATATGTTCACGTCACTTGAAGTGTACGTTCCTGGCTACAGCATGAAGGGAACGATGCTCTCACACCCTTCCATCTTTTCCGCATAGCGAAGGCTGCTCAGGCCCCATGAGATCCGAATAATTACTCTGGTTTAAGGGCTGCTTGCTAAAAAGAGCCGGCATCGCACATGAAAAGCAGCACATTTTCCTGAAATCTCGAGAGAACAAGCGCGGACCAGTCTATGCACCACAACGGCTCCGCACGTACCTCACCAACATGGCCACTGCTACGCGCGCCGCTGAGGGTGACGTCACGTGAAAACCATATGTAACTGTTTTGCGGAGATGGTGGTCTTGTGCATTCTGTATATAGACACGCTAGGTTTTTTATCTACAGCTGCCTGTCACATCGACGTCCCCGCTCCCTTCACGCCGTTTCGTACTCCCACTGCCCATTTTCTCTCACTGTCCTCCTGAAGAGGGTTAGTAAAAAGGGACAGCTTGCACCACAGAGAGAAAGAGAGAGAGAGAGAGAAATATAAGGGAGTGTGGTTAACTAGATTAATTCCAGTTTGCTACCCTACGTGGGGGAGAGGGGAACGAATGAGAAAAGAAAGAGGATGAGATACACATTGCACGTAACACACACCGCGCACACATTTCAGTTTCACAGGCGGTCGCGCAGTGATGTTGCCCTCAAGAATTGAAGAGCTCGCGTGGCTTTCTGGGCTGAAGTATTTTCAGGCCACGCTCCCAAGATCTCCAGAGTAAAGGGTCGATTATCCAGCCTCCTTAAAGGGGCCCTATAATGCCTAAAAACTTCGATGCCGACTGCAGAACTCATAGTGGCGCTCGCCACAACTACTGCGAGCGGAAATGACGCCGGAAGGTTGCCGCCATACGATCGGATAAATGTAACGTTCATTGTGATTTTGAAATTTCATCACAATTATAATTATAATGTATGTTTATATTTATGATTTATAATTATAACTGTATAAACTCTTGAATTTTTCTTCATTAGCATGATGTCTCACTCAAAGTCACAGAATAAAGCTCTCCGACTTTTCCAGCTTGAAAACTGCAAAGCTGGTCAAAAATGCACCGAACGCCACGTGCTGGAAAAAACCCACCAGCGACGCTCCGGGCGCCGTAGTTTGATGAAATTAAAGGAAAAAAAAAATCTAAGAGCGTTGATACATATACGCCATTGCAAAAAGAAAGATCAATAAAGCTAGAAAACATTACAGAAGCGCTCGTGAGATGGCTGGTTTCACACATGTCGTTCTGTCTTCAAGTACCACATTGTTTGTTACCATCGCAGCGGTGTCTTCAGTATGCTGGACGTAACAGGCAATATGTCCGGCGAGCTTCCTGTACGGCAGGGCTTTCAGTTCACTTCAATGGGCAGCATTCCGACGTCAGAGGGCGATGGAAACACGGTAAGCTGAGCCCGCGAAAATCGACTTGAGGGTAAGCATCCATTTCTTTGTATTTTGATATCTCTAGGCTGAATAACTTTGCACAGCGTGGCCTTATCCTTGCCGTTCTGGCAGCACTTATCCCTTAAGCCGTCAGTGTACGCAACCAGCTCGAAAAACATGTAAATCTACGAAGTCGCGAAAAGTGTTAAAGGGTTCCTTTAAGGTGCACTGGAAAATCCATATGTATTCTTCAAAATCTGGACAATGGCACAGGACGTGGGCGAGAGTTTCTATACAATGACAGTTATCTCAGTTGGAGGAGTCAGCCATACCAATGCAATGACTGGATGAATTGGTGAAGGCAGCGCCTACCGACAACCGACACAGCAGTGTAGCATCCCGACGAGAAGACTGATGGCAGCTGTAATTGGAGTAATAGAGCGAGGTTCTGTGGGCGTCGAGTGGTGTTCAGTAAAAGATTACAATGCATAAGTGTGGTATTGTGCGCGATGCGACGAACTTCTTTTGCGGCATCAACCCTTGACAGGGGTATGAGTAGTGTGGGCGTTGTGTCGTGGGCACACCGGGCAGCGTTGTCGGTGAGGTGGTTACCACTAATCCCACAGTGCCCAGGCAGCCATTGAAAGATTATGTCATGTCCTTTGTTAGTGGCGCGATGGCAGATTTCATTGATTTGAGGTACTGTCTGATGATAGTTCCCGCGTCATAGACTTTGCATACATTGAAGGGCCACCTTGGAGTCGCAGAAGATAGCCCACTTAGCAGGGGATTCTCGCATAACAAACCTAATTGCAGCTGGAAGGGCGGCGAGCTCGGAGCCCGTAGATGTGGCGTGTGAAGTTCTCAACTTGACGGTGATTGACCGAGATGGAATCACAAAAGCGCCCATCGAACTTCCCGATATTGAACCGTCCATACAAATAGGAGTTCGGTTTGCATATGATGTATGCAAAAGATTCAATGAAATATGTTTGAGGGCTGCAGGTGGCAGGCTAGCCTTTTTGTATATTCCCGGCACTTCAAGGTGTACAGTAGGTGTACAGGGGGTACAGAATGTAGGCACACCTGCGTCAGGGTGTGCTCATGTCCTTGATAGTTATATACCTAAACACACGACGGGCCCACAATTGGTTGTTAATGAGGCAAAGACTGCCTTCGTAGGCCGCCTTGTTCTTTCCTTCACGTGCCTCATAACGCGATCATCCAAGGTGACCTTGGATAGCCTCGACAGCTACACGTCCATCACACGCCAACGCCAGTCGCCCGACCTCACGCTGGCTATGGTTTCTGGAATAGGGTGAAATGAGAATCGATTCGGGTTAGATATATTGTCACACCAAAAACAGCTGATTGCCGGAAAACCTATAATTGAAAATATTTTTTTGAAAACAGTGCATACAGATGGACATATGACCAGTGCACCCACGAGATTCTCGTTTGTGGCCACTCGTCGACTCTGGCTTCTTTGCGTTCAATGCCACCGACACCAAAATAAGTAATTGACAACAAGCATTCGCTAAAAAAAACAAATGTTGCACATGTGAATACTGCTGAAAGATATATTTTATTTCAAGAAGATATCCCTCCTTGGCCAAAGCGTAACAACTACTGGTAAAGTACTTTGTGCAGATCCACAAAATAAGCCACAAGTCCTTTTTTGGCGCAGGCAGGCTTGGCGTGCCAGTCGCAGATACTGGTGTTTTGAGTGCCTGCAAACATGTGAAAGGAGGTTACAAAGTGTTGCTTTTTTGTCGCTGATTACGCTGAGGTTTTTCGTTCTGTTCGTTGTAAAAAAATTTTCACGTTCACAAGAAGTACAAGTGGCTCACACAATCATGGCAAAGTTAGATATAAGCGCTAGCATTGACACCAAGCTTGATGACTACGTTAAACACCTAGGTTTACTTTTCACATATGAATAATAAGATAAAGTGGAATCGTTTATTTCGGCAGTCATCGCCATAGATACATGAGCGCATGTGGTGGACTGACGAACACTCCTATCATAATGATGCCACCTCATCAATAACGAGCAGTCTATGTAAAATCATGCTTGGTATATATTTTATATGTTCCTTCTTGGTGGATAATAACACGACTGTTTGGAATTGCATTGCAGAAAATTTTGCATACGGATAGCGCATTTACAGCATCATTTGATAAAACGTCGAGTGTGTTTAAAAAATACAATGACATGCCCGATCGTTCCGTGATACAAATCAGTACAACACGAAAGTGAAACGTGTCTCCACAGATGCAGCGGAGCATTTATTATGCATTCATATACGAGACTTTGTAAAATGTATATTGTTGTTTGCGTGTTATAGTATCGTTAGACGTGGAGTCAACATTTGCAACGCCCTTCACAAACACAAAGTAACAACTGCTGCAGTTGTGAATTCGCGCTTGTCCAGTCTATACCTGCGCATTCTTTTCGGAAGTCCTTTGTGTTGAAGGAGTGCACTGAAAGTGTCGAGCTGTCACAGTTGTTAGCTCATACTCTTATTGTGTGCGTGAGTGTGGACATGTGCTGCTATCACATTCAACCCCTCCCCCTTGAAAGCGTCAGTCTCTTTGTTTTTTTTTGTCCTGTTGCATTGCGCTACAATTTTTCCTGTAGAGATGAAACGATTTTTTTAATGCTTGTGGCGCTTTAAGCTAGAAAATTTCAATTTTTTTAAACGGTCAAATTCTATCTGCATATAACATACCTGCTACTTCTTTTGCGCCATAGCAATGCATCCGGTCAGCGCTCCCAGCCCAGCTGCTCCTAATCCAGCTGCCACCACCGGCACAAACGGAGAAGCTGCCGCAGAAGCCGGCAGCAATATCCCAGCTGCAATGCATGTCGCCACCATGGGCCCTTGGTCATCATTGGAGGTAGGTGTTTCCGTCTTTTCTTGCGAGGAATCTGTTTGTGCTGGTTTTCCTTCGGACATCCTTGTCCCTTCTGTCTTGAAAAATACATGGAAACAGAGAGGGAGGCTAGTATAAGGGTACGAACGCTCTTACGATTCGACGAGCACTAACAAAATTGCCAAGTAAACTCGCGAGATTAATATTAATTTTTGAAACAATGCACTCAAATGCGTGGAGTCACCGATGATCATGGTGTAGCGAACTCGGTAAAAGTGGCATTGTAAGATACATAATATTTTCACCACAGAAATGCAGTTAAGTTTCAGGTACTGATTCACACCATGCAGTAAAATTATAATTAAATTTGTTTTTACCTTTTGTAGGATAAGCAAGGCTGCATATTTTCGACAATTTTCAGTGTACCACAAGTAGTCCGAAATCGTTTCATTGTCTGTTATTATAGTGATGGATAATGTATTATTTGCATGTCATTTAGCAGTTTAGTTTTTTTATTTTGACGATTATAATTTGTTTATAAACAAATACGTTTTCGTATGTCCTCCCTCTCTCATGAGACTGGAAGTATTGTTAAATAAGTAAAACAATGCGCAATTTATCTGTAGGCATTTTCGCTTCAATTTCTCAACCGTAAACATTTTCACATTTGGAGTTTTTCCATGTGAAAAACTTATTTTTACACTAAATATTTTATGAAATTTACTGTTCTCAGATTTAAAGTGATAATTCATATACGTCGGAAAATTTATTATTATAGCTGCAATGCAAATATTAAGCTGATATGCAAGAGGAAGAAATCTATAAATAGACCAATACAATAGAGTCGTGTTTCTCCAACAGGTGTAAAGAATTGAGATGAACAACTCGTGTATAGATACTTCTCAAAATTTTTTTTGTTATCGAAAAACAATAACTGGTTCAGTTACAATATTGTTAAGGTATTCAACTTCGCACTCCTAGAGTTGGAGAGTAAACTATACACTTAAAGCGCTCATTTCAGGTAGATGTACCTCCGTGTGGTTATGTACCTAGGCAGAAAACTCACGGCGCTGAGGTTTTAGTGATCGTTCCCTTGCTGATTTTCTCATCGTTCCGCTTAGCGCATCGTGGTAAAGTGTTAGCGAGATAGTAGCGAGAGGCGGATTCCGTTTACCCTTCATTATGACCACTTTGTGGTTAGTGATGTGAAGCGACATAGTTCTCGGATCGAATACAGTGTGAAATTGGCCAAAACTAGATCGATGCAGGTTCCCCAGTCATCGTTGTCTGCAGATGATCGAATGATAAGCACCTTACAGTATATCTAGATGTCGCATGTTGAATGAGCCATTTACCCTCCATGAGGTCTACGTTTCAATCCCCCGGCAGTGTGAAGGGTGCGTTCTTACATTTGGTTTATTATTGACCCCTGCACCGCTTCAGGACCCGCTTGCTGGCTCTTCCGTCTAGATTCTGCTTCGCGGGCCCTTGCCGCCTCCGGGCTCGCTTGCCGACGAGCCTGTGTCACTTCGGCTGCTCGAGCTCTCATCTCCTGGTCGGCACGACGCTGGCCTCTCACTTTGACTTCTCGAACCCTAAGCTCTGGCTCAGTTCTTGGCAAGCCCGTGCTGCGGCTGCTTTGCGAGCCCACCGCTCCGACACTTTGTCTTTATAATATTGAAGCGAACTGACAGACGACTGACGAAAGTACTATATAGTAGAAAAAGAAAGCCTGCCGAGATCGAACGCGGTTTGTAGTTTTGGCCCTCCATCGGTGTCCTATCAAGCTAGAGGGCGCGCCGGAGTGGGGCGAATGCTGCAGAGCCATCGAGAGGTCCCTATTAGAACTAGACGCGAGAGCGCAGCTGCGCACCTAGTGAATGCTCCGAGTAATAGCGACTGGCTATGGCGATGGGGAAGGGGGGGAGAGGACAACCCTCGACCATGAGGAGCTTCCCCCCCCCCCAATTCGACGAGCGTAAACAATGACCTAAGCTCTAATACCACAAATTTTGACTTTTTAAAGAAATGCTATGGTGGACAAGCTTACAATAAGAGTAATAAAACACTATTTCGACTAGCAGTAAGTGAGGTAAATTATAATAATGTTACGCGGAAGCGGCAACGTGTGAACGAAGGAATAGGAGAATGAAGTGCTGGAAGCAGCTCGGCGTCTGCGCGACCCTTGAACCGACCTTGAGCAGCAACCGAAGGAGAGTACACTGGCGACACTGATTTACACACCGGCAGCCACCGTTGGAGATGGCGCGAGCAATAGAAGCTTGCTGGCCAAATTATTTCTAAAACAGAGGCACCGAACCAGGCAGCCAGCTTCGCTGGGGGGCAATGAAGTATAGCGACGTGGATTTATTTGTCCTTGATCTCTTCTTTGTTTCTGCACTTTTTGATTTGACGAAGCGAGTGGGTGTCACTCAAGCTCGCACAGCGCACTCGTTTTAGATATTTATTTATTTGTACATACTGCAGGCCCTAATCGGGCCTATGCAGGAGTGGATACATAGAGGTACTATGAGACATACTAACGCTCCATAAAAAGAAAGAAAGATATCACCCGCATCAGGGCTTCGAAATTTTATTTGGAATATGTGAAGATGTGTGTGATATTTTTTTTTGAGTACAATAATTTTGTATACGATACATTGTAACAGACAAACAATGAACTGTATGATAACCCTGGCGGGCGACAAGCAAAGTTTCTTTGCGAGAGACTAGCCACCGCTGGCAGCTACTACGTCGGAACAGGTAGGCCGTGCCTAACCGAGGCTCCGTGGGCTCTCTGAACGGCCCTTAGCTGAGTGGCGAGGCCGGAGCTCTTGAGCGCTCCTTCCCACTCCGATTTCGGGGTGTGACAGCTGTTGTCCCGCAACGAGGGACACCGCCACAGTTCTCGCTCCGAAGTGCAGAATGGATCTCCGCAATTCCAATAACCGGCCTCGTAGAAGTTCGCGTGCTTGGTGACCCTGGCTAGGCTAGAATAGAACCCATTTTGCAACATGCAAAGGGCGGAAGACTGAGACCAGGAGAGCTTGGCGATTGGCGGGAAATAGACCCTCCTGCTGAGCTAATAGCGCTTCGTCACCTCGTTCAATGTGATGACCTGGAATTTTTCATGTAAGCAATGGCCCCCAAGTTGACAATTAAAATGTGAATTTATAATGTCTTGTTATTAGGGCATTCAACATCGCTTAGGCACTGCGGAAGAACTTCATGCGCGAAAAGACAACGTTCATAGAGACTGTAGCTTTCTGAATTCAATATAGTACTGTTTACGAACTGACAGTGCGTCTCCTTCACTCATAAGCGCGACCCATGCATGCCTGTTTCATTATACATTAGACACCATCCGGCTAACGCGAGTAACTGAGTAGAAATACCTAGGTGTTTAATTTTAATCGAATCTTACTAGGACTGAGCAGGTTGAATATGTCACAGCGAGATCCTGCAGAATGTTAAACTTTGTTAAACGAAACTTCCGGTTAGCTCCTCCCGAAATCAGAGAACTACTCTACTTTTCGAATGTCCGGCATCTCTCAGAGTACGCCTCTGTTGCGTGGGACCCGCAAACAAGAACGTTGTCTAACATGCTTGAGATCGTCCAAAAGCGCACAGCTCGTCTTGTGACAAGTAACAACTTCAGTGTCAGTGTCACTGTTCTTAAATATAGGTTAGAGTGGGATTTGTTGGTGTTACGTAGGAAACACTTGAGATTAGAAATGCTATTCAAGTACTTCATGGGTTGATCAAAATAGATAAAGAATCTTACTTTTCTCCTCCCCATTTTTTCTCTAAGAGAACTGACCACCCCCTAAAAATAGGAGAAATTTTTTGCAGAACAAACATTTATCAGAACTCCTTCTTTCCGCTCACAATCTCCCAGTGGAATCGGCTCCCACAGGAGGCTGCAGACTGCCGCACTGAAACATTTTTCACGGACATATTGCTACTTTCAAAGCTGCATTTTTATGATCTGTTTTCGTGACCATCTTGTTATAAATACTTCTTTTTGTGTAAGCGCATTTTACGTTGCGTATTTTCCCTTTGCAATAATGCCCTAGGGCGCTGCAGCTATTTTTTAATAAATAAAACTAGTATAGGTGCTGTGTGTTAACATATAAAGTCAAATTAAGGCAAATGTAGGCTGACAGAAAGACTTGAAGTTCTAGTTGCCACCTCCAATTGATTTAATTCGACTTTCTTAAAAAGTGCGGACAGGTGCTTAAGTGTTTTTCATTGAAAGAAGAGGTTCCACCCAGTAGGTACAATCTTTTTGTGAAGACTATATGGTTGTGCGTCTGCGTACACCAAAGTCTATGCGTTCAGAATTAAAATAGCTGAATGAGCAGCCTGTGACTTCGGTTGCAACGAAGAAACAATTGGACTTTTTTTTGCTACTGCTTTTGCATAGACACAGCGACTGCCTTTACGCAAGGCGTTCACCGACTTATAGATAACCAACTTCGGTCGGAAGAAGAAAATGTACGCCATCGCTATCAAAACCTTGCCGGAGGAGGCCCTGCAAACGCTATTGCGCCCCTTGCGATGAACCGCCGTTAATCAGAACCAGTTTTCTGTGCGATTTGTTTCTTTTTTTGTTCAGTGTGTGAGTTTATATTGCAGCAAAGCTGCATACCCCAACCCCGCAACAGGTTTTTTACGGAGGGTAAATACGAACGGACAAAATAAAGCGTCGTATACGGATGCTCCGTTTCAAGGGCGCAGATTTTAAATTCCGTAGATAATCCCAAAGCCATTCCTGGTGTGCGTGTAGCGACGAAGGTACTGGCCGAATTTGATGAATCCTTGAAGCTCTGGCACAAACTGATGCTGTGGCGCAACTCTGCCAGCTGCGTATGTCGGAAGTATTTTACCTCTATACAGTTGGTTACGGTGAGTCTGCGACTTTCAAAACCAAAATTTATCTTTGTCGGCCGGCTTCCATATCGAACGACAAACAGAAGCTGCTGTAAGGGCGTGGCTTCAGTTTCTTGCCCATAGTGAACTGTTGTCATTGGAGTGTTTAGCGTAAGTTAAATTTGTAGCTTAGAGTGTTTCACGCGATGAATACCAGAAATAA